TGACCGTGATTCTCTGTTGTCGGGAAGGGAATATGAAGCCCACAGGGGTCAGGTCAGTTCCGACAGCCACTCAGGAGAAGATAGTCATCCTGAAGTTGCCCACCCTGTGCCCACATATGATCGGTTCAGCGCTTCCAGGACCATTGAGGATCAGGCCATCCACAGCCTGGACGATAAATTGATTGACAATGGTGTCTCGTGTTTTGGATCTCCGTGCCGACATAATCTCACACCTGCCCCAAGAGTGTGGTTCTAAGTGGAGCCTGGTGGAGAATTCGAGCTTGAACATTGGTGCTGACCTCGGCAAGCAGGAGGCGGGAATACAGACTGTGGAGCCAGCCACTCCCGCAGAGAAGACAGTCGCCCTCGAGGAGAGCGGAGCCGCTGGTGATAAGAACAGTGTTGACACTAAAGATTCCGACTCGAGTATTGGTTTTAAACCATATAATGTTCAGCACTATTTTGCGGAACTCCCACAGCGTGCCACGAACAAGAAGCTGCTTGAAACTTTGAAGTCCGTGAAAATCAACCAGGCTGCCGTGTTCGTGCGGTCAGTGGATCGGCCAAAGGCGCTCGGCAGGATTCTGGAGGAGTGCTTTCAACAGGCGGTGGTTCTGCACCCGAACACGAACCACAACATAGGCGATGACACGTTCAAGAGTTCTCCAAAGCTTGTCGTTGCAAGCGGCGGCTAAGAGTGCGACTATGACACCTCAATGGTTGATCGTCTCATCAATTACGACATGCCTGGCGACCATAACTCGTATCGTTGCCGCGTCGGGACCGAGAGGGATCTCGATGCCAGCGGTGTGGCCATCTCCTTCGTGACCACCTCCGACAATCCCGACGTCTTGAAGAAGCTCCAGGTGTGTTCAAAACCTTCAGGTTCGAGAGCTACCTCTGCAAGGCAGCTGCTTTCAATCCCAAGAGTTTGCTGCATAGGGGACTGAGCAGTGAGTGAGGGGTGCAATTGGCAGGCATGATTATTTACAATACAGTCCTGTCGTAACGTCGCTGGGGTCTTCAGCCCAGTGCAGTGCCTCCCTCTCCCATTCTCCCCTCGTTATCCATATCCTATATATTCTTCCCCATCCCTGTACCTCAGAGCCTCCGCTGCTTCTTGCCAGCCATTTCTGGGGGGAGGTGGGGGAGTGTTCTGTCGGAGGTGGCAAAGGAGGATCTCCCCCCTGTCCTCCGCAGCTGCTGCAGACACCTTGGAAGCACCCGCGGCATTCTGTCGCAAAGGAGTGGGCTATTCTAGGCCACATGTGCTTCCAAGCAGTTTAGAGAGTGAGGCTGCCACTCTCTTTCCCTAAACAGCGAAGCGTGGGTCCTCTATCACACATCAGCCTTATAGCATGGTGTTTGATATCTTCGCTGTTTAGGGTCAGCCTCCCGACAGCCAGGGTGCAAAGTGAGCTGCACTAGGCTCAGCACCTGCCCCTTCACTTTCGAGCAGGTTTCCACCCTGGCGGCGGGGGGGGGAGGTCCCTGGGCGAGGGCGGGAGTGAGGAGGACCCCATTCCCGCCTCTGCGTGGCCCGCTGCCGACCCCAATTTCGGTCAGGCAGCTTAGAGGCATCCATGGCCTCTTTCTCGTCTCTTCTCTTCTCTCTTCTCTTCTCTTCTCTTCTCTATCTTCTCCCTCTCTCTCTCTCTCTTTCTCTTTCTCTTTCAGGTCGGTTTTGAGCCGTGCTTTCAGCCTGCTGTCAGCTGCTCGACGTGACCTCATGCTGTGTCTGTGGCTGTCTGTAGAAGAGGGGGAGAAGAAGGAGGAAGAGGAGGAGGAGAGGAGGAGGAGAGGAAGAGGAGGAGGAGGAGGAGGAGGAGGAGGAGGAGGAGGAGGAGGAGGGGGAGGGGGAGGGGGTCACAGCAGCAGGAAGAGGACGTCTCGCCTAGCGTTACCAACCAGCGATTCCTGGAGCGACCGCCCCAGGGGTCGCCAGGCTCCTAGCTTGGTCACGCCTCCCCCCGACGGCCGACCGGCCCTGAGGGGGGGATGGCTACGTCAGGGTGACGTTCGCGCCATTGGGTCAGGAGGAGGAGGAGGAGAGCGGGGAAGCAGAGGAGAGTAGTATTCAGAATGTGTCTTTGTAGATTGACGAAGAGGGGGGGGCGAGGAGACGGAGGAGGAGGAGGAGACGGAGGAGGAGGAGGAGGAGGAGGAGGAGGAGGAGGAGGAGGAGGAGGAGGAGAAAAAGGGCATCCCTGGCGAGGGTGCCCCTGGCGAGGGTGCCCCCCAGAAGCGGCATCGGGAGTGCCCCCTAGAAACGGCATCGGGAATGCGAAGGCATCCCTGGCATGGCGGAAGAGCGGGGAGCGGGGAGAGGAAGAGAAGCCACCAGCCCCAGTCAAGCGTTGCAACTCCATGCCCGTTCAGCTTACGCTCGACTCCCCTTGGCTGCCCACCCCTCCTTTGCGCCCTGTAATGAGCAATCATTTTCGATCTTCCTCCCCCAGGGCTCCGCCGCCCACGCGGCCGTCCCCCGGGGGAGGAGGAGGAGGAGGTGGAGAATGAGAAAAGGGGCGGAGGGAGGAGGAGGAGGAGGAGGAGGAGGAGGAGGAGGAGGAGGGACGAGGAGATGGAGGTGGAAGTGGAGGTGGAAGTGGAGGTGGAGATGGAGGAGGAGGAGAGCGGAGAAGCAGAGGACAATAGTATTCAGAATGTGTCCTTGTAGATTGACGGAGAGGGGGGGGCGAGGAGACGGAGGAGGAGGAGGAGGAGGAGGAGGAGGAGAAAAAGGGCATCCCTGGCGAGGGTGCCCCTGGCGAGGGTGCCCCCCGGAAGCGGCATCGGGAGTGCCCCCTAGAAACGGCATCGGGAATGCGAAGGCATACCTGGCATGGCGGAAGAGCGGGGAGCGGGGAGAGGAAGAGAAGCCACCAGCCCCAGTCAAGCGTTGCAACTCCATGCCCGTTCAGCTTACGCTCGACTCCCCTTGGCTGCCCACCCCTCCCTTGCGCCCTGTAATGAGCAATCATTTTCGATCTTCCTCTCCCAGGGCTCCGCCGCCCACGCGGCCGTCCCCTGGGGGAGGAGGGGGAGGTGGAGAATGAGAAAAGGGGCGGAGGGAGGAGGAGGAGGAGGAGGAGGAGGAGGAGGAGGAGGAGGAGGAGGAGCCATAAGAACAGGAAATGGAGGTGGAAGTGGAGGTGGAGTGGAGGTGAGTGTGGCGAGGAGGAGGAGGGAGGAGGAAGGAGAGGAGATGAGGAGATAGCGGGGAAGCAGAGGACAGTAGTATTCAGAATGTGTCCCTTGTAAGATTGACGAGAGGGGGGGGGGCGAGGCGACGGAGAGGAGGGGAAGGAGGAGAGGAGGAGGAGGAGGAGGAAAAGGGCATCCCTGGCGAGGGTGCCCCTGGCGAGGGTGCCCCCCAGAAGCGGCATCGGGAGTGCCCCCTAGAAACGGCATCGGGAATGCGAAGGCATCCCTGGCATGGCGGAAGAGCGGGGAGCGGGGAGAGGAAGAGAAGCCACCAGCCCCAGTCAAGCGTTGCAACTCCATGCCCGTTCAGCTTACGCTCGACTCCCCTTGGCTGCCCACCCCTCCTTTGCGCCCTGTAATGAGCAATCATTGTCGATCTTCCTCCCCCAGGGCTCCGCCGCCCACGCGGCCGTCCCCCGGGGGAGAAGGAGGAGGTGGAGAAGGAGAAAAGGGGCGGAGGGAGAAGGAGGAGGAGGAGGAGGAGGAGGAGGAGGAGGAGGAGCAGGAGGGGCGAGGAGGTGGAGGTGGAAGTGGAGGTGGAAGTGGAGGTGGAAAAGGAGGAGGAGGAGGAGGAGGAGGAGGAGGAGGTTTGTTTGGAGCTCAGCGCCAAAGCCTCACGAGCTCTGCGGACGCCACCACCATGACGAGGACGAGCACCCCGGCGAGGTAGAAGCCCACCCACAGAAACACCATCGCCATACACGAGGGAATATGCGACGAGGCCCGCCTCGAGCAGCACGAACACGAGGGCACCCGTGAAATTGAGAAAAAACACCGCCACGACAGCACCGAACAGACGATTGATCAACCTGAATGCCCCATACAGTAACAGCATAATAAGCAACATGCCTTACCAGAAAGCACCATAATTGAAGAAAGAAGAATACCGAATCGCCATATCCAGCGTGCCGATGCGGAAGAGGAGCCACGATTGCACAATCACCCAACAACGCCCGCAAGCCCAACCTGTAACATATTCCCTGGAGGCGAGAACAAGACATATGGTACCTCGAGGTGTAAGAGATGAAAGAAGGAGGCATCCAAAGCAACTGTAAAGATGAACAACAAATAAATGTGGAGCGAGCAGCGCCGAATGAACAAGAAGAGGGGTGCCATGCTTGCCACTCGGGACTGGGCCAAGCTCAGCCAGCCGAAAAGGTGGCGCCGACGAAGACCGGGACAAACCTGCACGAACACCGTAACAACCCCAGCGCTCACCTCCTTGAAGCTCGTGCCCAAAGGGCTCACAAGCAAGCACACGCATGGTACAGCCCTGGGAACATCGCGAGCGAGCTTGAGCTAAAGCTACCTCGACCCGAAAGGGTACTTGAGCGGAGGAGGAGGAGGAGGAGGAGGAGGAGGAGGAGGAGGAGGAGGACGCGGGGACGCGTTGCGCGACGATGTCGCTGGGAGGAGGAGGAGGAGGATGAGGAGGAGGAGGGAGGAGAGGAGGGCTGAGGAAACGGTGGAGAAGAAGTCGAGTGGGAGGAGAAAGAGGAGGATAATGAGGAGAAGGAGAGGAGCAGGAAGAGAACGAGCCGAGAAGGAGGAAAGGACTAGAAGGAGAAGGGAGTAGGAGCAGGAAGGAAGACGAGGCGAAAAGGAGAGAAGGAGGAGGAGGCGGAGGAGGAGAGGAGGAGGAGGAGAGGGAGGAGGAGTAGGAGGAGGAAGAGAACGAGAGGAGGAGGAGGAGGAGGAGGAGGAGGAAGAGGAGGAGGAGGAGGAAGAGGAGAAGGAAATCGAGGACGAGGAAACCGACGGCGCGGAGGAAGGGACCCGGGCCCGAGGGCGCGCACCTCTGCAGCGGCAACCGCCCGAGGGTGCGGCGCCAGCGGCCCGCTGGCGGCCCGCCGCGGCCTGGCAAC